TGCAAGCACTGTGGTAAACGTGTATCTGGCGAAAGTGGATGGTTTAGTAGTACAAAATGGATAGATAAATATAACGAATGTCGGGAAAGAGAATTTGAAGAAAAGAGAAAGATCAACCAGGCAAGCATTGATCCCATAGACCCCATAGACTAGTACCCCATTAACTAATTGGCGGGTGTGGTTATTGTTAATTAATTAATTAATTAATTACCGTTTATTGAATCTGTGCTTTGCTTGTCTGATCAATGCTTCTTCATTGTTTGGCTGTAGCTTAACAACAGTAGCATAGTCACTCATGGCCGCTTCTGTCTCACCTCGCTAAAAATATAAATAAAAATATATAAATAAATAAATAAATAAATAAATAATGATATTGAACCTCTCCATACCTTTTCTCTCAGTTCTGCTCTCAGGAATATTAATTTTGGATTCTTATCATCTTTCCATATTGCCTAAGAGAGAGAATATGAACATTAATAATAGTTCACTAACTCTGGTTATATTGTCAATAGCACTGCTTAAGTCACCTCTTTTAGCAAGCAGTATACCTCTATACACAGCAGCTATAAGCTCCACCCACTGCCCCACCCACTTACTTTGATAAAAACCCAAGCCCGTGATTGGCATCTTTCTTCAAAAGTTGAGTCAATTCATCAACTGCAGACTAAAGGAGGAGGAGAGATGGTTAATTTTAATTAAATTTTTTTACTTTTTCTTTTCCAAGTACAAGAAAGAGTAGGTGTCTTTCCCAGTGGGGCGTGGATAAGAAAGAACACACCTCCAGAGCTTCGGTGAAATCCTTCATTGCCTCTTCAAGAAACCCAAGCTAATTAAAACTAATAATTAATATAAATCAATGAATATATAATTACCTTACGATAGAGGATACCACGCTCAACAAGATACTCGGCTGTGTCTCGCTTACTGTCACGTGACCTGCTCGCTGCAATCTGATTGGTCAGATTATCAATCTCAGATGTATTCTATAAAGTATGTATTATTACACAGACATACAGTGTATATTACATATTAATTTATACTATGTGTATACCTCGTTCATTACAGATGGTAGTGAAGGAATTGATGATAGATCAAGATTAATAATTGAATTATTGGCACTGGTTCCGATGCTACTGGGTCCCACACTATTACCCCCTAGAACGGACCCTATAATATTACTAGGCCCCACACCAGTGAGGGGTCTAATGGGATCCATAGTCTTCCCAGTGTCCATGTCTCTCTTCCCAGTGTCTCTCTTGTTGGTTTTCATTGGATCCGGTAGCCACCATGGTACAGGAACTCGTCCCTTGTCATATTCTGCTATTGCGGCACGTACCTCCACCAGTACTTCATAAAACCA